AGCGCCGAGTCGTCGAAGGAGTCGATCTCCCCCTGACACAGCGCAACGGCACAAACCCACGACAAAAAGACCAAGGGGCGCGCGGACACTACTGGCAAAGCGGATTGGCGAGGTTGAGCAGTTGACTCCACATTCGATGCTACTGCTCAGGTTCTTAGCTTTCGGTTCCGGGCTCCGGGCCTCTAGGTCCACGCCCGTCAGCTCTGTGTCGATGGCGACGAAGTCCGCGCCCGGCAGCCTGCTCTCGAAGTCGGCGAGGACCTCTCGAAGCGGACAGGACTTGAGGCGGTCTTTAGCAAGAGTCTGAGGCCTTCTTGAAGTTGCTCACGCGGCCTCAGCTGAGCCCGTTCCGGACCGCATGGAACAGCCGCTATCGCTCCCCGCCTTCCATCCGCCGAGTCCGGCCTTGCCTTTGGGCCTCTGACTGCGACACTAAGGGAAGATGAGGAGTCAGACTGCGAAGTCCCCCGCCTTCCTCACATTCGTCGCGGGCGTGAAAGCAGCACGTGCTGTACAAGTAAGAGTAGCAAACCCCAAACGAGAGAGGGCTGCAAAACTGCAAACACTCGCGCGATGCTGCTTACATCAGACAGCTGCAGTACGACTGCACCTTGCCACACTCTCCCTGGCTTGAGTTCTCGTTGCACGCTGCTTCGCGGCACCCTGCTTGAGCCTTTGCTCTGCGCCGGCTGCGTTGCGACGGCTGCACTTGTCACAGTGCTGCAGCAGAGCAACCGCGGAAAGCGCCTGACACTGCTTTTCTCATGATCGTGCTCGAAGGTCGGACAGGCCTTGTCTCTCTGCTTTTTCGCCGCATGTCCTGGACAGGGGCTGAAGCCGGGCACTGCGCCCTCCTGCCGTCAAGAGTCAATATCTTCGAGAGTTTCAACCTCCAAGCTCCACTCATCTTGTGTGCTTAGATTCCTCTGTCCGGAGGAATTGGTTCTATCTTCTACCTAGAGCTTCATCTCAACAGGGTGGCCGTGGTCCTGGACATGTCGGCCAGGTTGCCCGCGAGGTTTTGGATCTCTTGGAGCGTCAACATCTGGCGCCGGCGGCTGGGGTAGTCCACGTCCTTTGCCCAGTCTTCCTCGGCGTCTCAAGGCGTATACGGCTTTCTCCAGAACCGGCCGCACACGCGGAGGCTCGAAAGCGGACCAGTGGGGTGGCAGGCACCAACAGACTCTCACACTCGGCCACTCCGCTGAGACTCAAATTCTGCACTCTTCTGCTGCTCGACGACGCGGTCGACAAGGCCCAGCCCCGCATCGATCTCTTTGGCCTAAGACACATCTATACCACGCCTTACCGAGGCCATGGCTTATGCAATGCTAGGCAGTCAAGGCAGATGGAGAAAACCTTGTCAATGATTGCGTGGGAGCAGCAGGTGGCGTGGGCACGGTGCTCAGGAAGCGCGCGGCGTCCTCCAATCGGCATCGGAACTACACTCTTTCACAAGCAGACTCGGTCGGAATCCTTCGACAGCTTTTTCCGTCCGTCAAGTGGAGGGCGGTAGCCGTGCATCAGCCTCGGACTGCCAGAGTCTCCACACTGTGTGGAGTCGAAGCCGAAGCCATTCCCAAGCGAGACACAGCTGCTCGCGCGCCTGGCCAACAAGACACAGCCGTGCCCTCCCACCCCCCACGCGCACGCGCTCCTGGCCCACGGTGCCCTGCGGTGCCCTGCGGTGCCCTGCGGTGCCCTGCGGTGCCCTGCGGTGCCCTGCGGTGCCCACGGTGCCCCCGCCTTCAGGAAGTGCTTGCGGGCCTGCAGGAGGACCTTGTAGTCTTCAGCGGGCAAGCTCTCGAGCGGCGCCGAGCGCCGTCCCGCCAGCCACTCGGACTTGTAATGCCGCCTGCAGTGGCGGGCTCTTGACTTGCTTCGGGGGCCCAAGCTCTTGACTGCTGACGGAAGGACCACTCCGGAATGCCAAAGGCCAGATCGTGCAGGCCGTTGGTCACGTGATATTTCTGGCAGATGTCCTTCTGCAGGCCCCAGTGCAGGCCCTCCGTCAGCCTGCAAAAACTTGCAGAACTCAGAAGTGCTTGCGGCCCTGAGAAGTTACCAAGGACCTGGCGGCTGGGCATCGAGGAAGGCCGAGCCAAGGCCACGAACATTGGTTCGGCCAATAAGGGCCTCTCGCTACTTTCAAGCAAGGCCCATGTCTGGCTGCCTTGGTTTCGATGTCTTCTCCCCACCTCCGAAATCTCGCGGGACACTCCCATGAGCTACATCGCGTCAGAGGCTCACCGAAGCGCGTTGTCGAATGGTATTTTTTTTGTGGTGGAAAGCTGAGCCCTGACCCGGTACCTGGCAGTGGGCACCCTTGAGCCGTTCTGCAAAGGGTATGAGCTCAGGATCGCTCTGGTGTGCTCTTGCGTCGCACATCAGTGATCAGCGTGTAAGGTGTACAGGGATTGTAGGGTGTAAGGGTTAGGCAACAACCGTCTGAGTGTTGTGCTAGACCGGTATTCCGAGAGGAAAATCCTCGCAGGTTCCGTGGTGTTGTACATGTTACATGGCCTTCGATCCGAGCTTCTGCCGAGAAGACTCGATGCGAATGTCTGATACTGCAGGCTTCTTCCAGAGTGTTTCTCCTGCTCGCTGAGCGCCCGTAAGCGCTGAAAGGCCCTGGGCATCGACAACATCAAGAAGGCTCCGCAGACGGAGCCTGGTTCCAAGTGTGTTCGATGCAGCTGCAGACGCGCTACGTGACTGTTGCGCATGCGGGACCTCAGCACAAGGAGCTCCTGGTTCGCTTGGTTTCTCGTTCAACCAGTGAGATCCGAAGGCCTGTTGAATTACGTATGCCAGCTTGCTTTGCTGCATGTACTGCCCGGTTGTGGTGAAACTTAATGCTTCCTGAGATCGATGTGCAGGACATGGGCTAGGTAAGCCAAGGCTCAAGGTCAAAACTGAATGTGCCAGCAGGCGAGAGTAAGGAGATTTCTATGCCAGAACGCGGAGAACATTATCCCCCACCCCCCCGCAACACAAGAGCTGTCATCACGCCGCTCGGGTAAGCTCCGACAGAAATCGCAGAAGGCCCTAAGCCCTAAACCCTAAACCGTAAGCCCTCACCGCTCATTTCGTGCAGAGGAGGATGGTGACGAGCTTGTAGTAGAGGTCACAGGTGTAGCCCTCGATCTCCTCGCTTTCCACCTTTAAATTATAGGGGCCTTCATATATCTTAATATATACATATATATATACATACAGATATATATAGAAAAAATGCTAGCTCAATATATCGTGATATTATACGATTTAAGGTATATTCTCCTCACTTTCCACCTCGCGGAAGAGAGTCGCTAACACCTCCGATCCGAGGCCGCCGTTGCTGATGATCAAGTACTTCCCTCCCGTCTTCCTGACATGGGTTTAGGGTTTAGGGTTTAGGGTTTAGGGTTTAGGGTTTAGGGCTTAGGGGAGGGGGGGCGGCAATCGTAAATGTCAGATCTAGGCT